TCTGGCTCAGGTCAGTCTTCTGGCTTTGGTCAACATGAGTCTGGCTCACATCAGTCTTCTGGCTTTGGTCAACATGAATTTGGCTCAGGTCAGTCTTCTGGCTTTGGACAACATGGGTCTCGCTCAGGTCAATCTTCTGGCTTTGGTCAACATGGATCTGGCTCACATCAGTCTTCTGGCTTTGGTCAACATGAGTCTGGCTCAGGTCAATCTTCTGGCTTTGGTCAACATGGGTCTGGCTCACATCAGTCTTCTGGTTTTGGTCAACACGGGTCTGGCTCAAGTCATTCTGGCTTTGGTCAACATGAATCTGGTCCAAGTCAGTCTTCCGGCTTTGGACAACATGAGTCTGGCTCAGGTCAGTCTTGTGGCTTTGGTCAACATGCGTCTGGCTCAGGACAGTCTTCTGGCTTTGGTCAACATGGGTCTGGCTCACATCAGTCTTCTGGCTTTGGTCAACATGAGTCTGGCTCAGGTCAGTCTTCTGGCTTTAGTCAACACGGGTCTGGCTCAAGTCAGTCTTCTGGCTTTGGTCAACATGAATCTGGTTCAGGTCAGTCCTCTGGCTTTGGTCTACATGGGTCTTGCTCAGGTCAGTCCTCTAGTTATGGACCACATGGCTCATCCTGCTATGGTCACCAAAGATCTAGTTGTGGTCAGTCTTCCAGCTATGGTCAGCATGGGTCTGGATCAAATCAGTCTTCTAGGTATGGCCAACATACGTCTGGTTCAGGCCTGCCTTCTAACCAAAGGCAACATGGGTCTTGCTCAAGAGAAACTTCTGGCTTTAGTCAACATGAGTCTGTTCCAGGAGAGTCATCTGGTTTTAGTCAGTGTGGTTCTGGCTCCAGTCATTATTCTGGCTATGGACAACATGGCTCAACATCAGGACAGTCATCAAGCTGTGGCCAACATGGATCCAGCTCAGCCCAGTCTTCCAGCTATGGTCAACGTGGATGTGGTACAAATCAGTCTTCTAACTATGGCCAATACGGATCTGCCACAAGTCACTGTTCTAGCCATGGCCAACATGGGTATGCCTCAAGTATGCCTGAACATGAGAAGTATGGTTCATATCCTTCATCTATGGATGGACAATATTGCTCTGGATCTGATCCATGTTATAACTCTCAACAATATGGATCTGGCTCACATTACTCATCTAGCTCTAGAACATGTAGTTCTGGACCTAGTCAGTGTCCTAATTTTGAGCAACCTGAATCACAAGGGAGATGTGGAAACCAGTGGAGATCTACCTATAACCATTCAAATTGTAATGAAGGGCAGGGGAGAAATGGTTATAGACAGGTAGAAAGCTCCTCAGGCTGTGCCTCTGAACAATTTACACCCTCCTGTGGACAGTCTAGATCCAATACTATCAATAAATTGTCATTTTGCAATAAGGATCACAGACAAAGTGGCTATTGTGACCAGAAAGGAAGAGCAGATAGCTGGGGAGAAGGAAGTACAGGCTCAAGATCCCAAAGTTTCAATAGCAGCACTCCACTCTATGAATATGTCCAACAGCAGAGGTGTCAAATATAGGGATGAAAAAAGAATGGTAGTGAAATTAAGTCACAAAGCAATTTTTGAAATGAGAAACTGTTACAAAAAAGTTATCATTAAATTTCTGTTTCTATCCTCTTTTAAACCTATAAATGTACTATACTACCTGTTACTTGGCTCCTTTTCCAAAAATGTAGGGTATTTGGGCTATTTCTTATGAAACACTGAGTTGAATAAATTACTAGTATGGGGTTAAATTTGGAAAAATATTTTGCAAAGTGTTTAAGGAGCTTGGATTTTAGTTAAGGTATCTTTTTAACAGCTCATTATTTAATTAGAGATAATGCCATAGCTAAGTGTGTGGTTTTAAAAAAAAATAATGTACTGTAAATGTACCACACTAAAGCTAAGCTTTCTCTAACATCTACATATACTAAAAATTTTTGGTGTAACCTATATAGAATAGTAGCAAAAAGGAAAAACCTTAAAGGCAAGGATGCACCACTAATAGTGTGTTTGCTTACAAAATCCACAAAAGCCACTATTTTGAGTACATCATCTATTAGGTAACTAACAGGTATTATGAAGAAGTTGCTTCAGATGCTTCTTCTTGGCCAAGCAAGATCATAATTTCTTAAAGAGCTGGTTGGGTCAGTTCAGGATCAAAGGATCCAAATATAGGCTTTAACTTGATTTCAACAAGAAAGATCTTAGCTCCTACTTCTAAGAAGTTGGCTCCAGATTAGAAAACTTTAGAGATGCTTAAAATAGAAAGATAGTAACTCCATAGAGGGGAATATGCATATCCAGATAAGAAGAAAGACTATCACTGTTACATAGTTCCTTGATTTGACTGTAATGAATTTGTTTCAAGTGTTTGGACTGAAATAACTACATTGCATTAAAATTGGCAATAAGTAAATGGTGATTAAATATACTGTGTCTTGTCTCCTTTCTGCTTCATTTCATTTCTCTAACTCAGGTGGTCAAACTAGAATTCAATACAAATAGCAATTTCCCAAGGCCTATTCTTCACAAACAATCCAGACTATATAGTTTCTAAACTTTATTTAATAAGACAATTTAACTTGAAAATGGCCAAAATTTTATGACACTGTTCTTGGCCATGATTTTCATATTGTTAGATACTGGTTTAGCAAAAAATAAATTTAAAAAACTAAGAATTTTTGAAGGAAGAGTTCTCAGACATGCTTACCTAATATTAACTACCATAAAACCCTCCGATAGAACCACATCCTTATACAAAATATATTTCTCCAAAGACATTTGCCCAGTAACTGTCTGTTCAACCTCATACTGGAGACACCCATGTTATTAATCCTTGTAGCCAAGTATTGTTGTCTCAATGTGTCCTACGTAATCTTCAATTTTACCTTCAATGGCCAGGGAGATGGCTCAGTAGAATAAGCGCTTCACTGACAAATGCAAGGGCCTGAGTTCAATCCCCTGTTCTGCCAAAAAAAAAAAAAAAATTTACCATCAAAATTTTTCCTTTGCTACAATTTCATTGAAGAGGCTCATTATTTGCTATGGGATTTGCTAAGGAGTATTCCCTTGACGTTGTTCTGTTATCCCTCAAATAAATATTATTTTTT